ATATAATCTACAGCGTGCCTCGCTGATTCGTAATCTACACGGCGCAATAACTGTCTTTATTCCGTTGAGCGTCCGATTATATCAATATGGCATAAATACCACTTAGTTATGAAAAAATGGTAGATCAAATTAATTAATCTCCGATGCATTTTTCATGAGAGTCCGTAAATTAAACAAAATATTTAATTATTCTAGATTACGATTATAAATAAAGATAAATATTAATATAATAAGCTAATATAATAAGCTTAAAAGTTGCTTTTGCTACTCCTCTTATCTCATTCTTTTTTTATGACAATTTTTCTTCTGTCTTGGATTTCTTATCTTGTCCTTAAACAATCAACTCGACTTTCAAGGAAAGATTCGAAAGCACGGTGCATGATATATGTATGATGGCTTATTTGATAGAACGAAAATCGTTCCGCATAACGGTTTTTTCGCTCGAAGGCCAATCAAATTCACAAAATTGTTGTCTGCAATTACTTCCACAGCAACGCGGAGAAAAGTCAGATGAGATGACTAGGATTTTCTCTGTTGATGGTTTCCGGATGATAAAAGTCGAGATTGAAGAAATTCATGAGTTTTTTTTTATAAATAAGTGCTGTTTTGTTTCTTATTATAAAGTATACGTAATATCTAATTAACGATTTCTCGTAATAATCATTTAAGGAGTTATATTGAGAGAGCACAAATTTATTTATTCATCAATAGTAAAATAAATAAAAATATTTTGATAATGAAGAATTGGAAAATTAGGAAGTTTAGCTTGTGCCTAAAAGATTTAAGATTCTTATTCCTTCGTCACTACTACTTTCAGATCATGACATTAAGAACAAAAAGATGTAACAAAAATTTTTGCAAATTATATTTGAACAGAAATATTTTTTTAATAAAACATTTGCAATCGATAGAATAGATTTATACAAGTTGTGTTCCATTATGTCGAAAATTATCTTTTGGGGATTGGTGAGTCCTGTAACTAATTTTAACTCTGTTCCGTAACGGACAACTGATACTGTGATTTTCATTTGTGTTATTCAGAAGAGAAAAATTATTTTTAACTTTTTATTATAATAATTATTTACCATTATTCGTGCTATTTATTAAAATATTTAATAATAGAAACTTTGACTTTAGAAATTTAGAAGACTAATAAAATGAATAACAAAGAAATATATGAAGCTAATTAAAGCCGTAAGTTAATTATGTTAATGACTTACATTAAATGCTTTATTGATACAGAGTTAGAGAGATAGATCTGGACAGAAATTACAGTATTACATTATTGTTATAACATGTTACCTGCAACCTCGTAACTAAAAAGATAATTTTCGACACAACTATAAACGAAGCACATAGTATACAAGAAATTATCTTCTTTTTATTTAAGAAATTTGTTTTGATGAGAAAAATAATAAATTATATTTATTTCTATATATTATTATAATTTGACAGTTTAACCACATGAATATAGCTTATTTCGTTTTTTATTAGGCATAATTTATTTCCAGATATAAACGATGTTTATTAATTAATCAAAAAAAAAATTTTTAGTGTATTTTATACGAATCGATTCTATATTGATTGTAAGCGTTGTTTTGTTGAAATATATTTCTATATTAATACATTTTGCAAAAATTTTTATTGCGTATTTTTTACTTCCGAATTGTTACAATCTGAAATAATAGTGATGAATGAACAGAAACATGAACAGAAGCAATTTTTTAAATATTTTCTATTGTATCGCGTTACCTTCAGACAACAAACTAATTAAATATAACTATGTTTTGAAACATTAAATTTTACACGTTTTGAAACATTAAAATTCTTTTCATGCTGCAAGAAGAATGTGCCGTCATACTATACAGTATATGGGAGCGTGTATTTTTGTACCATTTATGTACAAAGTGCTTCTACAATTCTCTTGGAATTTTAAAGGAATTTCAAAGCGTAGTAAAGAAGGAATAAACCATCGATTAAAAGTCGCATTTTCACAACAGGTTTGCTTCCCAATGAGGCAATCCTTCCAACGAAGGAATCAAAGATTTGTTCTTGCAAGCGTAACGTCTGCCGACAGTTATAAATCGATCGATAGTTCTCTATAAGTACCCTTTATGATTTACAGATAACGTCATCCCTGAACTCGAGCTTTTTCGTTTAATGTCTTCGAGTGCAGTTTAGATGCAATGACAATAGGCAAAATCGGTCGAAATGTGCAATCCGGCTGCAGATCTGACCTACGTAATTATAAATCTTTTCACGAATCGTAAAATCGTAATAATTCAGTTGTTCCGATTTAACTTTCTGGATTTAGTAATGATAAAAAGAGTAATAAAAAAATTCAGACATGTGCACACGTTCGAAAAAAAGACAATAGACTACTTACTTAAAAAAATTAGTTCAATAAGCATTTTCCTGTTGTTATAATATTCTTATTAAATTTTATTATGAAAGTTCTTCAAAAAGTTCTAGTTGCGCATGACGAATCACTCAAATTGAATGAAAGCCGTAAGAATTAAGTATCAAGTATGATTTTCATATAAAGAAAAAATTTTATCGAATATTGTTAAATTGCGTTTATTTTTACAGTTAAATTCTTTTTCTTGCAACTAATTTAAATTTCTAGGAGTAAAATCTCACTCTTTTTAACATATTCATCTCGTATTAAATTAATACAAAAATTTGAACAAACCGCGTTTGGACACATAAAATGCGATAAATTTAACACAAGATTTTCAACTACATATGTATGCTGTAAAACAGTCAAATAATGCTAATGTTAAATAGATTTTTCAAAAAGAATAAGTCCGCTCGATAATTCACGATGAATAAATTAGTGATAGATGATTCGTGTAACAATCGCATGAAATACCGAGATAGCTACATGTACTGTTCCGATTATATAAATTGATAATGTTGTAAATCATTTAGACTTTACCATTAAGTTTCGACTTAATTTTAAATTACATGAAAAATAAGACGTCTCGTCCTTCACTAGTCCTGAAGATTTATCTGCAAAAAATTTTTCATTTCTCATTTCATTAAAAATTATTAATATGTCTGCACATAAATAATTTTTATATACGCGATTAAAAACAAAAAAAAATTTTTAACAAGCAAAATTTCAAAAAGACTAATAAGCAATGAGAAATAAGATATATATTTTGTTTTTGTCATGTAATTTCAAGTAGACTTTTATAGATAGTAATCCTTTTACTATACAAAAGTAAAAGATTTAGGGTATTCTAAATCTCTCTCTTTTATTAGACAAGTCAAGGCAAATTCTTGGAATCGAAGAAATAAAGTATAGAAAACGTGATTAACAACGTAGATAACAATGAAAGCATTAAAACGCGTTACGGCATCGAACATGTCTCGTTTCTTTTTTTCTTTAAATTAAAGTAATTTATTATCTTTATCGCAATAGTGACCGCTTCACTCACTGATGAAAATGACGCAGAAACGTTTACAACTCAACATGTCGACAAATCAGGCTTATTGTTGACTCATTCGGCGGTCCTTTCGATTCTCAACTTGTTTATTAACTTGTAGATCTAGACTTCAGATCATACAATTTCAAAATCACATTCGATTCCATTTACTACAGTTTCTCACAATCAAATCACGATGACGCGGAAGTATTATAGATGATGATATTCTTAAACATATGCAGTACAATATTAAAGCGATTTTACTAATCCATTCAAGGTCAATAATTTAAAAAACAAGCAACATTGTTGCATTAGATAAATAAAATTACAAATTAAATTTATTAATTTATTGTATATTTATATGAGCATTGGTATCTCTACTGTATAATCGGGATGTTTCGGACTTAACCCTCTTCAGCCGTGATAAAATGAAATTATTAGCGCATGTGTGTGTGTGTGTGTGTGTGTGTGTGTGTGTGTGGATTAATATAATATATATGATGTCACTGAACTTATCTTGTATAAATATCGTGTGGTAGACATCGTTTGTTTTTAGAATCATAATTAGTGTGATCCGTTTGCTTACGAAGACGATTAATTTCGCAAAGAATTCTTCAACCGCCTACGAGAAACCATTGTAATCAAAATTAAAAAATTCTTATTCAACCGTTTGTTTATCAATCTAGGTCTACAAGTTGACAACAATTGCATACATCCAATATCATATTATCCAGTAATTTTGAATATGGAATGCTAGGATCCACAATTTTTTAAGTCTTTAAAATAATCTGTGCCGATGTTGTCTCTAAAGCTAACGCATAAGGCTATATCGCCTGTATATATTATAGTTACTATGTCTTTTTTTCTGTAGCAAAATTGTACTTTTCGAGCAGAGTAAAACATAGTGATAGTAGTTATATAGATGAAAACTATAATATAAACTTTATATTATATAAAATTAATATACACAGACAATTAAATAAAATATTTTATAGTTGTAATAATCATAATATAATTTACTCATTTATGGACATTAATTCTACATGAAAACTTGTATTATCACTTATACATATATATATATATATATATATATATATAGTTGTCACTATGCTTTTTACTGAGTGAAGTATCTTTCTATTTTTGAATCATGAAAAGAAAAAAATCATAGGAAAATTTGCCTCTTATAATCTTAAAACGTTGAAAAACATCCTTTATTAGCAGGATATTTTTTTAAAGACATCAGATGCTTGCGTAAAAATAAAACTTCACCGAAATTTAGTTTAATTCAATGATGTAACCATCTAGATTTAAGAAGGATTCATCGATGAGTATACCAGTACACATTAGTGCTAATACAGCAGAGCGGATTCCAAGCCATTGGACGACTCTCATGTTGCACCGAGAGAACGGAGTTGGATTACGCACGGTAGCAGTTTGAATCGAACGACCGACGCGTGCGTTTCTGATAATCGCAGGTGCGGCTCTCCGGATAAGATCCGATACTCGACCTATCGAAACGTAATGATATCGAGATTGCATATCTGTGATGCCGGAGATTCATTTAAAAAATATTTAGTAGAATATTTTAGATTAATCAATCTAATACGAGAATCAATCAAACCATTCGTATCTTCTAAGATACGTCGACGACAGTTCGTTACAATACATTGATCATTTAATTATAACATAGCTGTTCGAAACCGCAATTTTTAACAGTTAGCTGCTTTTACAATTGGTCACTTAATTTGCCCGACAAAAAAAAAGGGAAAGATGCTTTGCGCGCTCGCTCGCATGTATTACCTTATTTCGCGATCGTGCATCGTTACGCGTAACACGGAAAGTATCCCGATCTGGGACAGTACCTCACCCGCGATCCAGCGATCCATCGATCCCGATGGCCTCCGGTTTCTCTCCCTCTTTTTTCGCCTCACCTTCGCTTGTTTGTTCGGTGCCTTCCCTTTCGGTTCTCCTCTTTGGTCCTCACTCCGGTCGAGATCAACAGGGTTTACTAAGAGAGCACGCGTCCTCCAGAAACTTCAGTGTAAACCGCGCACTCAAACTCGAAGGATCATCGGATTCTTCCACTTTGACAAGAACGAGACAGAGAATTAAAGGTGCGAAAGACGAGAAAAAAGAAGACCTAATTAATACCCGTTTCACATTACGCATTGGAGATTAAGGATTGCGAATTAAGAAAGATTAGAATTCGACCAATCAGATAATTTTAATTTTAATCCGTTTCGTTCTAAATGGTTCTGAATTCTAATCCTCAAAATTCGCAGTCTTCAATCTGTAATGCGTAGTGTGACACAGGCGTAACTCATGCGAAATCCCGATGCGCCGTTCAACAGTTTGAGTGTGATCTCCTGCGTCTTTAGTATCAATCCGGCTGTGATCGATCGCGATTGATCGCGATTTCAGTGTTGCTGAATCCTTGTGAAAAACACAATGCGGGGTGGTGGTGTTCTCCTAATGTCGTTCGCATTCATAACGATCGGAACGGCAAGTAAGTGTGATTCTTGAAAATAATTTTCTCACATATTTTTTATAAATTTTTGAAACTGGCAATTGAAGCATTTTCTGCGATTTTATATATCCTAAAGTATTTTAAAAAGAAAACATTTTCTATTCTTTTTACACTGTTAAATTTATAATGTCAAATTATATCCAATTGAATCATTTCTATCGGTCGCCAATCCTTAATAATACTCCTACTCAACATATCGTTAATTTATTTATGGAGTTAAATTAAACGAATGTATTAAATTTGACTCAAATTTAGTTTATTATTTACTAAATAATTACAGAAACAATTACAGAAATGAATTACTTTATGTTTTGACACATGTGGAAGTTATTATATTGTAAAAATAACAAGATATTATTTAACAGTGCACATTATGAGAAATATAAATATCAAACTTAAAACTTAATAATACATTTTTGAATTTTAACAATTTATATATGTACAATTTAATTATATATAAATTTTTAATGATATGACTTGTAAGGACTTATGACTAATATATTCTAATTTTATGCGTATGTATCGTAAGACGATTATTCATAAATATCTACGATTTCTTGTAAATTTTATGATTAGAAAGAATAAGCTGTCTATAAAAAGATTATATAAGCTTAAAAATTCTTACAAGTCTTACAGGAATATGTTATGATAGAGGCTTACGATTCTGCTTAGAGTATAGATATTAAATTTTATATCACACTTAGAGTATAGGCTTTAAATTTTATATTTAATAAATATATAATATATTAACATGTGTTTATTAGGATGTAATAGAAAATAAATAGAAATTTTATATGCAAATAAATTTTTAAAGGAATTAATAAATATCGGAACACGTTCCACCTTAACTTTAATGATTTTAAAGAATATACGTTTTTTGACATAAATATTTCCAATCCAATAAATTCTTGATTAAGTTGCGTACTTCCGTAAATAAAGTGAAAATTGAATAGTACATTCACAAGATTAAATAGCACGCATCGACAAAATGTGAATAAATACAATGCGAAAAATGATCTACCGATTGCGTTACACGCGTATTGGATACATTGCGTCCTTTAAAGCCTATTCTACAACTACGTAAGCGTAGTTGTAAGTGATTGTGGTTGTAAGAATTAACCAATCACAGTCGAATATGAAACGAATATTTGACTGTAATTGGTCAATCCTTACAACCACAACCACTTACAACTATCGCGCTTACGTAATTATAGAATGGGGTTAAGATTGAATTACACAACTGATGACTATCCCTGCAAGGACGATACCATTTATATTGTATCATCAATCGCGTACATTGACACATGCTCGAAATTTCGATTATATTTTCGAGCTCGACGTAAGTCGAATCGATCTTACGAATAAAATGTGTGCTTTGATTTAATAAAATTAATTTCCTACAGCAAAGATAAAACATAAAATGTATGGTACGCTTTTGCTTTTAAATAAATTTTTTTGCACCTGCCTTTAATGAGAAATAATTGTCTCGCTTTTACCTGTCTGATTAAACGTTCAGTAAGCGCAAGTCGCCCATGGCATAAATAACATTTGTAATATTTATATGCGAGAAAATAATGTTTATATTTATGTGAAGAATTTTCGCAAGCATCGTACAATCTATACGCAACGTTTATGCTCAATCATACGCGCGATAATTGTACACGGTTATTATCTCAATATATCCGGGACTGTTGATTATTAATAAAACATATGCAATTCTCTTTTTAATCTTCTGCGGATCATCCTTTGAACGCTTCTTTCTTTTTTTAGAGAGCTCACGTGACTATGCAAAAGACTAAGTATATAGTCATAATCACAATAACGCACTGTGATCAATCGATGATGTCAACCGATTGAAACTTCCGCTTCTCTTGCTCATTTCAACTAAATATTATTACATCAAATGCGAAATTGTAATGCAAAATCAAAATATTTTAATCTGTTGCAGAATGTCCAAAGAAAACAACTTCGCCTGTCAGAGAGATTCTTTGCTATACTTCCATCTTCGATGTAAAGCTTCTAATCGACTCTGTGTGCGATTGTACCACTCTGGTACATCAAAATCATGATGTGAGAAATCTTTCAACTGCCGGTAAGCGCATTCTAATAACAAGAGGTGCACTTCGAATCATTTTAAAATAAGAAATTTCGCTATTAAAAATTTGAACTAATGAATACAACAAGATATTTGTAATAGGAGGAAGTGACAAGATTAATTCAATTCAACACAAAGAAATATCATAAATATCAATAAGATACTAATAAGAATATAAACTGATTAGATTTGAGCAAAATTTTTGACGAATTGCAGGACTCAAACCAAAGCGTATTATCAATTACACTGATTTATAAGGTTTCTGTTTCTTAATACCTAAATGGTAATCCTATTATGTATTTTTAGCTGTTGAAAAAGAATACAAAATTAAAAAGATCCTATCATTCACAGATTTTGAGAAATCAATGACTTTATTTTTTAAAAACTCTGGAGATTTAAACAATTTACATTTTTTCTTTTCCTTTACGGAATAAAATATATAAAAATCATTATTTAAATTTGAAAAACGGAAATCTTGTAAATCAACGTCATTAAATATCAGAAATAAATTTTTATATTTTAATATTTTATTTAAAATTGTACATAAACAATAAAAGAGGCTTCATATTACATTTATTTTCATTTATAGTATAAAAAATATTTAAATTTCTTGCAGCTATATATTATATATACAATATATTATGAATTTGTGTTATTGCATAAGAAATTAAGAACAAAGTTCCTAAAAATTGATGGAATTTTTTGAAAGCAATATCTTTATTCAGTGTAAAGTCCTACAAGAAACATTACTTGATGAAAAATAAAATATTGATCAAAATTTATTGTTCAGTATCGTAAATAAAACGTTCCAGATATTTCTGACTTGCGGAAATCTTTAAAAGAGATGCATTCACCTCTTCAGTTTGTCATTTCTATACACGATCCCGCGATGATGCTCAGAAATTCCGCTGTGGTACGACAGGAAGCTATCGCTCGAATTATTGCTATTATGAAAGAGGTATGGTATTTTTTATTGACATCTTATCTTCCGAGATGATTTAAAAATTGAATAATTACGTTTGTGTGTTGTGTGTGTGTGTGTGTGTGTGTGTGTGTGTGTGTGTGTGTGTGTGTGTGTGTGTGTGTGTGTGTGTGTGTGTGTTCATGTTTGTGTGTTAGATATATTTAAAAAAATATATATGTATACACATATATATATATATATATTCAAGTAGTTATGAATGATTGAGTAGGCTGTTAAAAAAATATTAATTAAGATAAACACTCATAAAACAAAATTATCTAAATGCAAATGTTATAATAAATTGCAAAAATATACATTAAGTTGATAAAAAGGAATCTTTCCTCTGTTCAAGGTGGATGGCGTAGAACTGAATGTAACGGCGGGCTCAAAGGAGCGTCTTTATAATTTTATCAAAAGTCTCAAAAACGAAATGATTAAAAAATCTTACGACAAAAGGATTTTCATGGCTTTACCTATAAGATCGGAGGATTTAGCCAAGCAGTTTGACATTAAGGAACTCATGAAGTACGAATTATTTTAGTTGACTCGTTGACACGAAACATATTAGTTCCGATTCGTCGACGGTCACCAAAGTATTTTCATTCTTTTATCTTTCAAATTGTTTCTTTCTTTTGTAATTGTGAATTTATAAAATATTAAATTGTGTATAATATCAACTGATATACTGAAATAGGATGAGTTCATTTAAATAATACATTATTGTAACGCAAGTACAACTCGCATGGCTCATTGCCTTCTTACCTCTAATTTAAATTTTTAATTACCCCCCCATAAATCAAGTGGGATGTGACATATCCCAGCAATTCCTATAACTTTCTAAAAAGTATCGCGCACATATGGCCGGTTTCGTGCAACTGGAGAGTGCGTTAATACCAATCATACTAAATTATAGTATATTTATAAAGTATAGCATGGGATATGAGATATATACCCACATATGATTTTCTATCTGCTTCGCGGAAGATTAACTGAGCTTACTAATATTCTAATTTCTTTTCTTTTTTATTAGATATATTGACCTATTTACACTGTCAACGGATTATATGACGGACGAAGACGGAGTCTTCGTCACCTTTCATCCCTCGCGTCTAATAGGACTTTTCGACATGCTAAATACAGACAGCTTGATAGACTTAATAAGTGGATTAGGAGCACCCAAGCAGAAGATCGTGATAACCGTGCCGGTCAATGCGTACAAATTCACTTTGAAGAATCCGGACGAGAACGCACCAAGATCAAAAACTACGGAGAAGGAGCCTGTGTCAATTGATCGTAAAGAGGTGTGACGTATTTCCTCGAACTATGTTTGCTTATGATTTCAACAGTTTAGCTGGAAGAAATACGAGTCCATTAAAGATCGCAATACTTAGAGAAAAAGGCGTAGTAGATGACTACTATAAAAATGATTACTAATACAAATTTTGTATGTTAAATTAATGTAATGGTTGAATAAACTGTTTCATAGTTGCAACAATTATGAAATAATTTTTTCAACTAACATAATGCAACTTTTATAGTTAAATTATTATAGTTAAATTATTATTGCAATAATTATAAAATATATTATAGTTTAAATGTTATAAGTACATTTATTCTAGAAACCTTGTAATCAGAAACCTTGTAATCTGGCCATGACGTAGTTTCGTCTGTGATTAATCCGACATTTTTCTTCAATTCACATCAGTTGTAATTCATTATCTAGTTTTTTGCCGATAAATATTGCAGAAAAATACTGACGTATCCAAGCATTTTTACTCAAAAAGAAATACTTACAATTAGATATTATGTGAAATCGAGAAAAAGTGGGACTATACAGAATTACGACGTATATTCACTGTGTGTTTACTTATTAGCTTGGAATTATGAAGTTTATAAAACTGCCACATTTATAGCGCCATTGCAGAGGAAGTAGCAGAGAAGAGTAAGATAGCATATATCCGTCTCTCTCGCACAATTTTGAAGAAAAATTCCGGACATTCTCGAGGCCATACTGTGATTATAGGATCTCTAATTTATTCTATAATTTATATAAAACTTATACAGTTATAACCTTTATAACCTTTATAACAGTTATAACCTTTATAATTGCTATCACTGTTTTCCTTCGAATGAAATCTATTTTTAACTATGTTGTAGCTCTGCGAAGCTATAAACAACGGGGAATGGATCGTAGAACGAGATGAAGATCTCACAGCGCCTTATGCATTTCAAAACAAAACGTGGATTGCTTTTGAAGATAAGATTTCGGTCGGAATAAAGGTGTGTACATGGATTTCCCAGTTGCTCACTCTTATGTAAAAGATGAGTTACGATGCCATTGTTTAAAATTAAATAGATTATAAAACATCTTTCAAAATCTATTTAGCTTTTATAAAAGCAACCGATGTTTGTATTATTTTTGTTTTGTACATCAAAATTAATTTCAGGGGAAATATGTGTTTTTACGAGACTTGGCGGGATTGGCCTTGCGAAATATAGAAAATAACATGGAGACCGAGTGCGAAATACCATTCACGCAAGAAATTTATCATTCCTTCACGGAGTTTAGAAAAAAATCGAGACGAGCTGTACTCAGTGCGCTAGAAGATGAGCTTCATGTATGTGTTTTGTGTGTGTATGTGTGTGTGTGTGTGTGTGTGTGTGTATGAGATTATTTTTATATCAAACTACTGTTCCTATTTTTACTAATTCATTGAAATTTCAGCAAATGCAATTTTCGTATCCAAATAATGCGAAAACGTCTAGCTTCCGTATCACTCGGATTGTAGACACGGAGGGACATATCAGAGCCATACGCGAAAATACACAAACCGAGTTTGTTTGCAAACGTCAAGGTTACTTCGTCCATCCAAAAAGTTGCAATAGGTAGTTATGGATGACTAACATCAATAATAACTGTATAAATTGATTAAACAAAAAAAATCACTAATATACGAAACTTGGATTTCTTTATGTAAGTATATACTATATCCAATATAAATATATACTATATCCAATATAATGTTCTTTTACAGATTCTATCGCTGCGTGAAGTTCAATCAAGCGATAGAAGACTATTCCGTTTTCGAATTCGATTGCCCAGCTGGACTGTCGTTTGACGAACGCACGGAAGTTTGTGTTTGGCCAGGCTCGTTGTCCGAAGGCTCACCATGTCCTGGCAGTAGTGAGATTGCTCCTGTCACCCCGAAGAGATTTGAATGTTCTCAACCCGGTTATTATGCGGATCCACAAAATTGCCGTTGGTTCTTTGCTTGTATGGACTTAGGTGTGTTATATGTTTAATGAATTTATTTACACTCGTATATAAATCTTATGTATCATTCAAAATCGCTAAAGAAAGCATTATAATTGCAGAACATAACGCGTTAATTTCATCGTTGCAACATATTTATATAGTATTTTTCCTACAAATTTACAACGTATATAAAATAAAATATTATATAAATTTATGTTAATATTGACAGGTGGAGAAGAACTAACAGCGTTCGAGTTCCGCTGTCCGTACGGCTTGATATTTGATGAGAAGAAGTTAGTGTGCGAGTGGCCTTGGCTGGTTCCAGCTTGCTCGGAATCTAGATCAGGCTACACCAGCCACGAATATAATTATGGAAGCCACACTCCACAAACCTCTATTGGCGTTGGAGCTGGCAGTTACGTCACCAGCGGTTTACCGGAATACTCTGTGACTGTGGGAACGGATTATTCCAACATGGATTATTCTAAAACAACCGGTATCCATAGTACAAATTATTTTGGAACCACTGCGGGAGATATTAGTAAACACCCTGATATTGTGATTTCTGGTCCAGGACATGTAGGACTGTCCAGTGTAGTCGGTACTGATTATTCTAAATCCACCAAATATGGAGGAGCAATATCTTCTGTTCCAACGTATAGCAATTCACCCGACATACAGATTAGTTCGGTACCACTTAGTACAATTGTCGGAGAAGAACGTGGTATAAAATATTCTACAACGAGCAACAAAATTGGCGATGGATATACTGAATATACTACTGTATCTACTGGTCAAGATGGCTCTGGATACTTTGTATCTACTGGTGGATTTAACACTGGATTTGCAAACAGGGAATCATTGAGAGGAGTTGCTGCAGACTTTTCCGGATCTACACCAAGAAAGTACTTCGGACTTTCCGCTAGCGGAAGTTATTCAGAAGGGACTACTGCAAGTTTTTCCGGATCTACAACGGAAGAATATTCTGGAACCGCTAGTGGAAGTCATTTGAAGGAGCAAGGTGCAGGAGCAACTTATTTGGAAAAACCTATCTCAAGGTATCCTAATTTGGCAAATAATTATGCAGGAAGTGTTAGTCCGATAATAGATACAAGTTATTCGAGAATTCCGGGAAGTTACTTCGAATCTAGATTACCTGGATCATCCATTGATATCCACGTACAATCTACTAGTCCTAAATATGATGGATCGACGAATGTATACGCAGGTTCCAGCACACTTAATGTTAATGATTTCTTGACTTCTACCGGTGTCTACTCAGGAACAGCAAGACATCAACCATCATTCGGTGAAACCGGCCCATCGTTCGGATCTGTATCTTATCCTGGTGCTAGCGGCAAAATCGAAATAACAGGATCGACTGATAAAGAATATACGAGACCAACAACATATAAAGGTTCGATTGGTGCAGGATATTCTACGGGCGGTATCAGCTCTGGCTTTACTGAAAATGACGTTGGTGTGTCAATTAAATCTGGGATAGGATCAAGTTTGCACAGTACAACGAGTTCAAGTCAAATCCCAGGAATTAATTTTGTTAGCGACGTTCCAAAGTTTAAACTAAAAACTTCAGGAATTTCTACAGTTTCCGGACAAGTAAGTTTTATTCCTAGACCAACAGGCACTTCGACAAACTATAGATATGATAATGAGGAAGGATATACGATCCCTGTATTTGTACAACACGAAGAGCCCTCGATTTATCCCTCGATCGGAACTGGAGTCGAAGAAAGAGACCACATCGGAACGACTGGAACGAGTGGAATCGGTTTAACAAGTGGCTACGGGAAAACTAATTTGAACATAAGTATTTTTGGCAATGAGATTCCTACTGATTACGATATTCAGAAAAACACTCTTAGTACTATTCAAACTGGAGTTACTAGAGATGGAAGTAATACTATTGGTGACTCCTTTTCGAGGACCGTATCCAGTATCCACAGAAATGTTCCTGGAGTGGTATTAACTCCTGCCATTAATCAAAACGTTAAAATCCCAACTGGAGGAGGTCGACCTGGCTACGTCGCCCCTTCTGAAACAGCGGGATATGTGAATAGCGATGTGAAGACTATAAACGTTGGATCAGCTAGTCCAGAAACTCTAATATACGAAAAATCCGAAACGCCAAATCCTACGATTCCAATAAATGGTCCTTCAACAGTTGGTGTCTTATTAAAAGATAACTTTACTCCAAATATTAACACATTCGGACAAACGGCTCCTGAAATATCTATAGGTAGTTTCATTCAACCAGATTCGACAATCAAAAGCTCGACTCATAAATCATATGAATCGCAATCAACTTATCACGGCATCAGCAATGCCCCTGCGAAAGGTTCAATTATCTATTCGAGTAGCTCTCCAAGCGAAAACTTGATACCTACAGCTCCTCAAAACTATAGAACTGATGAAGAACGCAGCACTGTCACGTTCAATTCCGCTTACAATACTAATAAGTATGCAGAAAAAGATATTTCAGACTACAGGCTAACAAGTACTAGTCTTCCCGATTTAATCGTATCCGGAAGAGTAGAAGGTACTGATAGCATTTACGATTCTAGATTCGAAAACTCACCTACTTCAGGATATTCTTTGAGTAAATCAACTGTTTTCACACCAAATGGATTTACGAAGACTGGTCCAACCAGGACACGTATAACCACTGCTGTTCTCGGAGGTGGTAGTTACTCAATAAGTACAGATGATCATAGGCCTACTTATAACCCCGATAATATCAGCGAAAAGACATTTGAAGGGAATCTTGAAAGGGTCGCTGGATATAGGACTAGTACATCATCTGCTGACAATCTGTCCGTTACTTTGACTTCACCTGGCTATTCCTCGAAAGCTGCACCGGATGTTCCGAGTGGTCGCTTCACTGTACAATCAGCTACTTCCGGCTACTCATATCCTAAGCCAACCATTCAATTTGGAACTAGCGGTGTCACGTTCTCTTCAAAGCCAATTGTGTTGGCTGGAAGTAATGTACCGATTACGACGTCGCCGCTGTCTTTCAACCGCTTACCAACGTCGACAATCAGACCTGTAACTCATACTTCTGAACAGCCAGAAATTTACAAAACGACTCCTTTTGAATCATTTAAGATTCCGGTGGATATTCCAACCATCAGACCTGTGATCGATATCGGTTATAAGATCTCTCGACCGATCTCTCCGACAACCATTCCATTGTTAAATGATGATCAATTCATCAAAAGAACAGGCAGCTCTCAGTCAGTATCCATGTCTAACATTGGTTTAGGAGTGCCTTTCCAACGGACCGATTCAAGCGGCCAGACAGGTCATAGCTCCTCGTTGGGATATCTCCCACCAAAGTCGATTGAAGCTGGCGTGACTGCGTCCACCACAAAATATGACTTATCTGCAATAACCGCACAACCAGAGCTCATCGGATTAACGTATAAGAAACCATCACCGATCTCTGACGTTACGTACAGTCCTTCCTCGTTCCATTCGCCCACCACATTCAGGCCTTCCGACATATATTATTCCAGCCGAAGATTTTCTCTAGGGACTACGCCGTTTTCTCTAGGGACAATCCCTACAGGTGGCTCTCCAACAAATCAGAATATTTCAAGGGATAAGATCAATAAACTAACTACAAACTGTGACAGGGGCACCATCAAATATACGACACCTAAATATGATACCTATTCAAGTTCCGGATATGGCATTCAGCCTTCGACATTTTCATACGAAGTTACTACAAAGTCGCCTGAAGGCAAAGGTAAAGTCATTGTCAAGTGGAGCGATCTTCATCCACTTCTTTTAGGAAAACTTGGGGCAGAGTGCACGTGCAAGGCCGATCCCTTTGCCAATCTTCGCGGTCCGGGAAAGAAGCAGATCGATTCTTCCAAGGGCAAAGTGAATCTGGCCAACTATGACTCTTCTGAAATCTACGTCGATCTCGATTACTCTGAAGAGGATGACTATTCTACCAACTACAACGCTTTCCCAGCGCAGCCCTTCAAGATTAGTCCACAGGAAACGACGACCGTTTCGATCAATGTACCATCATCCTCTTACTTACCTACAATAGATGCCAGAACATCCGCGAGGAATTACGAGTCTCATTCGGGTCATCGAATGGGCAAAAAATTGAAATACGAAGAGAAAAATGAAGAAGAAAAGGAAGAATATGATGACGATCCTGATCAGATAATTAATGGTGTCACCGATTGCGCTAGGCCAGGTCTTTTCAGACATCCCGGACTTTGTAATAAATTCTACGCTTGTCACTGGGACCAGTGGAAGAAGAAATTCACGCTTCATATTTTTAATTGTCCTGTTCACTTAACGTTTGATTCAAACGAGAGCGCGTGCAACTGGCCCAGTAAAGGACCAGCTTGCCAAGCCAACAATTTATTAGTGTAAATGCGTCATTAGGCTTTTATTATCAGTTGATCAGCGTCTTCTTTATATTCTCATGTTTCTTCTAAAATTTTTTTATACATAATAGAATAGAAGAAATCAAAATCTGATTGTATATTTTTAAATCTCTTTTAATATATTTTAAAATCATTTTTTAGATCGATTAGTTTGGAAAACCAATTTGCCATTACACAATAAAACGTTGCGAGTACAATATGTAGCATGTTATTGTAAAAATAACGAGTGATTGTTACTTTCACGCGAATTTTCAGCCTTGGATTTCTTTCAGAATTTATCTTAACACACAGATTCCCAAACGTTTGCATTGAATAGCATCGATAAATATCTCGTTGAAGTGAATCTCTTAGTATCGAAGAGGAAAGTCATAGGAAGGCGGAGACTTATTGAGATGTGAAAAGGAAATCAAATTCAAGGTGATCGAGGTACTGTAGGAAAGCGTCGTTGAAGTGAAAGTAGTCCGTGCTTGTTGATGCAAATCGCAAAAAATCAACCGTTAAATATCAATATATATCACTTATATTTCTATATTCCGAATTTATTTAAAAGCTATTGAATCATTTTATGGTTTCTATATAAATTTAAAATACAAATGGATTTTTTCGTTTAAGTTAAACTATATCGATGAGTAAATGAATTTTTTTTAACCTTAATGACACAATCATATATCAGCAATACATTTTTCTTTGAAAAAATTAACAAGGCAAGAGAAAGTCGAATTTTGAGAACACAAAATGATAACGCTTATTTTTTATTTAATTTTTAAATTTACATATTCTATAAAAATTTTGCGTTTTCGCGAAAGTGTAGATGACAAATGCTTTTTATAATAGGCGAGTGATCTAATATTTTTTGATATTTTATCTGGCATAACGATAACGATAACGATAACATGCTGCATGACTGATATTCTTCCTGATTGAGTTCGCGCTTTCCTTTCTGATTGTCTTGAACTTTCTCACAAAATATAGTTTATCCTTTGCTTATTAAGAAAAGTTAGATAATGTCAACTCTTTCTACGATTTTGACAGTATTTTAATTACCGTGCCATTTATCAAACGGTTAATTAAATATTGTTATGATCTTAATAAAGTAATAAATTGCAACCAAAGTGCATTTTCATTTATTAGCAAACTGACCTTTATCCTACTAAAATATTGTAATATTTTGCAATTCAGTGCCATTATTAAAATTGCATTGGATTACAATTTCAACGAAAATATTACAAGCCATTAATATATAATATTACAAAATTTATATTAAAAAATATATTTAAAAATATATCTTCTGACATAAATTTTTTAATATCATTAGTATTAATTATATGTAAAAATATTTAAAAAAAATATACATATTTTCACAAATTTTAAAAAAGATATTTAAAAAATATGTTGTTACAAAAGCATGTATTACGCTGCTTTACAAAGGATTATATTATGTGTTTATACTTCTCTGCTTTTAGACTTTTCCTATTAAAAAATTAAATAACAAAATGTTGTTTTAAATAAAAATAAATTTTGATTTATATCATCGTTTATTTTTCAAAATTGATGAATCATATCCTGTTGCTTTTAGGATATTTGTGTCAAAAAAGTATGATAGTTCTTTTAAAATCTTCCTCTCACTGATTATTGAGAAGCACGAGAAGCCGTCACGATCTAACCAACTAACTTAGCGACTGGAGTAGGGTAGCGATTACCAATTAGTGAGAAAGAGAACTTATTGTGGTAAAACAAGACGCAAAATGAAAGAAAAGACTGGTGTCGACGCGCGATTCACTAGTCGAGCTAGAAGGTGATATAAAGGTGTACGGAAGTCCGATTCGATCTGATTTGTCTTAACATCAGCTGAGAAATCAATCTAATAGCGCGAAATCCGTCGCTGCCACACCACATTTTACCATCATGTAAGTCTGTTATTTATTTTACTGTTATTTGATAAACAATTATTTTCCTTCAGTTTCGTTAGATATCGATTGTTCTTTATCATGTTGTAACGAACATATCGTTTCTCCATTTCAATGAATATATAATCTTAAAATCAATCTTAGACTCTATTGCATTAACTTTAATCTCGATTCAATGTATTCTTTATCTTTTGCTAATTCTAAGAAGTAAGTCCTAGGCCCAGATTTTTATTATCTGGTTAACTTGTAGGCTTAACCTGATGTTTATTCAATGGACTTCATCTATGATCCAATGATGTCATGAATGAAGCACCATGGGTGAAACTTAATAAAGCTTAACTACAAGTTAATCAGATAATAAAAAACCGAACTTTAAAGTGAAATCGAAGTTAATCTTACATTAAGAAAATCGAGCTTTATTAGATTATGAGTTAATTTTTAATTATAATTTAGATTTTTCAATATCAAGTTTTTTAATGTTACAATCAAGTACAAATAATTTTTTAAAAATATTTGATAAATAAAGATTAAATTTAAGAACTAATTAAATTTTCCTTTGTCTTTTCCCCTGTCATATAATTGTAAATATAATTAAATAATATCGATCAAATTAACATTTTATTATTTATTTCTGTAACGATAATATAAATTTAATAAGCATAATTTTACATGAAAAAAATTACAAAAGACAATTGCATTAACAATACAATAGCAATATAAATCAATCTTTGAAATAAGTGTAGGAAAGAAAAATGCGATAGTCGTCGACCTTGCAACTAGCGTCACACTTTGCAGTTCTGATTACTAATAAATCAACACAAATAATTATCTTTATTTATCATTACGAGATGTTTTTTCAGTATTGTAATCGCATTATTGACAGGCAAGTTCAAAATATTATGTACAGTGCGTTTCGATTTAATCAATAACTTGACCTTTAACTTCAATCACGCATATTAATATATTTCGCTTTCTTTTAGTGACAAAAATCGATTTGTTTTATGTGGACAAATTTTGTATTCCGTATTAGAAAAAAATTTTAAATTTTTGTATTAAATATTACATTGTGATAATATTATTTACTATTTATAGTTACAGCAAAATTTGAACATTTGACTTGTGCTTATAAAATATGTTATAAAAACATAATATAAACATTTTGTATTGCAAACAATGCAAACAATTTACAAAAATGTTCATTAAATACAAAAACATTTAAATTTCGTATGTACAAAATTTTATTACTAAAAATTAATTTCTGATATTATTATCACATGTTATAATATATTCTTCAATTGTCAGAACGTTTCGCGAAAGTTATGAAAATTTTTTATATATTTTTTAATATATTTGTCGAAGCATCCAAGCATTAACAACAATCTTTAATAGGATCTATAAAAAAGATTGTATTAGAAAATAGAAAATAAAAGATACATGTGAAGAAAACGATGAATCTGAGACTGAGAAATAGCCGCAAGCAGTGAAAGTAGTATAAACCATTGCATCGACTGAACTTTACCGAGAATGGTCACATGGCGATTAAACGTCAGACGAGCAGAAAAAGAAACGATACGAGCGTAAAAAAGTTCCTGCGCATATCCACGTGACGTATTGCATAATAACATGTTGTCGCCTCGTAGCATTGCTGCTAATTCCCAGTATTGTAATTCTAAATTGCAGTTCCATCTTGGATTTATTTGTAGATCTGTATTCAAAGATCCAACTAATTAATTTGCGCTCTCTTCACATAAAACAAATGAGATTTTTTTAGCTTTTTTAGTTACATAAATTTACTTTAGAAAAAGAACTATCCACTCTATCGCACTCCAACATCGTATACAGAATAAATTGCAAGAATTGCAATGCCTCTTACGTGAGATAAACAAAGGATAATTTTGAAAAAGCGCATTAACGAACACAGAAACCACATCAATTGGAACATGACGCAACATTCAGTCATTATTGCACATAGACTAGAATCCTCTCATAAATTTGATTGGAAGAATGTACAAATTTTAGACGAAGAACAATTTTTAAATAAAAGGTTGACACAAAAATGATTTTTATTAATAAACAATTACAGGGACTCAATATTAAAAATGGCACGGAATCTTTCGACTCTTTATATTCTAATTTATTTACAAGGACTTGATGCTTCCCTCTCTCCATCATTTGTTGTCAATGTTTATATATAGTTTAACTTTTGATCATATCTTTCACATAAGCTCGTACGATCGAACAGTTGCGTTGACTAAGAAACTCGTCTAAATGACTATCATGTAAGTCAAAAACCAATTGTAATTTATCTATTATTTATTAATTTTAATTTTCTGAATTTTAGTTAATTTGGAAATTAAATGAAAATACGAAACTACCTAAGATTAGATACCCCTAGTCTAGATACTAGATACCCAACCTACTAGATACCTATGGATCTAGATACTTAACGATAATTTTACACGACATCGCTTTATGTTCCATATTTGTATTTCTGCATTCTATAATGTATGACAATATAGGATCAATATAGGACGATATGCAGGACAATATAGGATCGAAACATCTATTGTATTACTCGAATAAATTTATTACACGCATTCATCTTGTGTTTGGTTCTTTTATAGGCATTAATTTTCTTTAATTTATATTTTTTATTATTTATATGTTTATATAGAATCAAGTTAAGTCTCGCTAATATACACTGGCTCATTTATATGAATAGGGTGGTGTGGGCGATGCTGATATTGGCAGCGGTCGTGTTGACCGATGCAGCGGTACCAGATCCACCAGAAAATTCCGGCATCACCACGATCGGCTCCAAAAAATTAGCAACTGCCGCTGATTGTGCTGGACTTGTCGCCTTCTCTGCAATCCAAGGATCAGTAAATGTGAGTAAACAACATGATAATAATATTATGTAGCATACTTAACGAAAGTTTTTTTCAGAACTTTCATAAGAATTAGGACACTTCAAATAAGATATTGAAAATTTCTACATCCTTTCTTAGAATATTCCATATATATGAATTTTGAAATATTCTAGGATTTCTAAGATTTCTCATTTTATAATTTCTTAAAAAATACCTTAATTTTTTTCAAATTTTACAAAATTTCATCAGAAATTAGATATGAAATAGGAGAAATTTTAAAATTCAGAATTCACATATAAATTTCAGAATTCATGTATATGAACAATTCTAAAAAATATGTTATAGATTTTCTTCTGAAAAATGGTCCAATTTTTATAAAAAAATTTAAGATTTTTTTAAAAAGATATAAAATTATTCAAAAATTCTGAAAAATTTTGAATTTACATAAAAATTGTAATAAATTATAAGAAATATTCTGAGGAAATGTTTTAGTCAGGAATAATAATAACTTTAAATTAAAAATATAAAAACATATATCTGTCAACAAGGATTAATTTTATTTTATTTAAAAAGTAACCTTAATTTAATAAGAATAGAAGAATTTTTTGATGATAGAAAATTCTAGTTCTTAGATTAGTAACCTAACTCCCTTGAAATAAAAATTTAGTTTTAAATCCTATATATTTTTTATGCATTTCAAGAATAATTTATAGGCATAAATGTATATACAGGAAGCTAAGCTCATCCTCGCCGAGACGCTAGTAGACAAGGGAGTCGGTTACGCGGCACAAACAGGTATCTTCACCACACATTGTCCTGGCTTCTACCAATTCAGTTTCGCCGGATACGGTAGCACGGATCTGCGGCTGACATTGAAACGCAAACTGAACAAATCCAACAGTTGGAGAACGATTATCAGCGCTGGTCCAGGTGGAGGAAGCAATCTCGTCCTGCTAGACGTCGAAGCTGGTGATCAACTTGCCGTCTTCGTTGAGTCCGGGAAGATCATCGACGGAGCCAGTTTCACGGGTCATCGTGTTTATAAAAGATAAATAATAATCTTGAACAAATTCAAGATACCGATCACAATTATGGAAACAAAATTGATGTTATAATCTAATAAATCTCAGTCTAAAATGATTATTGATATACAAAGAAATAATTACAAAAATCTTGAAATACTATTTTTAGTTCATAAAAGTGTGTTTAATAAGAAAAATTTATAAGATAGTCGTTATAAAGTTTTGAATATTTTATAACTCATTTTTTATCCTCTGATTACTAATATTTTAAATTATAAAATGATTAAAATTATGAGATACTAAAACATGATGTCAAATCGAAAAATCGTCAGAATATCATTAAATGCATTTAAAAGCAATTACAAAAATAAAGAAAAAAGAATTGAAACGCTTTTGAAAAATCCGAGTTTTTCTCAAATAAGAGCTTTGCTTGTATACTAAAATATAGGTTTTGATTCGTAATTCTAAAACTTCTCGATGAATTTAATATTCTGTGATAGCTATTTCATTTCGGAGTCAAAAATTTAATTGATATTTATAATTTCTTGAAGCAGAATGATAAAATATTTAATTATTCTGTACATCAAACTTTTCTGGTTTCCAGTTTTCGCTTTGCATTTCTTTCAGTTCGCTTTCTAACATTTTTTGTTCATATTAACTTTCTCCTCGTCTTTCATTTTCCTCAATATATCACTGCTTCCTTATTTTCTTTGCTACGATAACGCATGATTAAGAAACAACTTTCTCTACACAAAATGTACGCGTAATTTTCTTTCTATATTTCTTTAATTAAATTTACATTTCTAATCTTTATTATTTTCTAATCTTCCATATCTCTCTTCTGTAAATTCCTTTTTCTTATTTCTTTCTATTTAGTTATGCATCTTTGATTTCGTCATTTTTTATTATTTCTTTAGCTTTATTAAAATTCTTATATTTCTATTTCATATATATTAATTCTTCATTCTTTCTCTCCTTCTTCTGTTTTCTCTTTAAAATTTTTTAATCTTTTTATCATTGAATCCATATGAAACTTTTAGTCTCTTATGCTTCAATATTTTTCTTTTAACATATATCCTTTATTTTTAAAATTATTTTTCGTCTTATTATCTTCCTGCAGAGTTAATTTTTTAATTTATTCTTTTTCTTTTATTTTTCTTGAAATTTGGTTTACATTTTAACGAATTCAACATAATTTCTTAAACTTTTATTATCTTATTTTCGTTATTTCCATTACTTCCATTTCATTACTTCTGTTATCGTTTTCTTTTTTAAATCTAATTTTTCTTTATTTCTCTCTCTCTCTCTCTCTCTCTCTCTCTCTCTCTCTCTTCTATTCTTTTTTTCTCCAAACAATACATAAGTACATTTTTTTCTGAATTTTCTTCTTATCTTCTGCCTTCTTTTTTATAATTTTAATATATTTTTTATATTTTTGTATAATTCTGTTTCCAGTTTAGTTTAAATTGCTTGTTCAATCTCATTTTTCGTCTTGATCTATATCTATTTATCCACGCAACAATTTGAAATCATATGGAGATATCCGAACGATATCCTGTTTGTTATATATGGATATATCGAAAATTCCTAAAAATATCCTTCGTACGTACAATGTACCACCTAAAGACATCTAACAGATATCGTTAGTACATTCAATTTCTAAGGACATAAAAAATTCTAAAGCTGTTTTTGTTTTCTGGACTGTGTAAGTTACTAAGAAGAAAAAAAGAAAATCGAACAGTTGTCATCAGCAAAGTCCGAAAAACTTTATTCATTTTCATTTTAAGTTTTCAATTACAAAAACTCACTTCTAAGGCATCATTTTATTATCATTTTACTAAAAAATGAGTAAAAATTTTTCATTATAAAAAATCTCATAATGCTATGCCTTTTACTCTATTTGATGTAATTTTTTAAAATACAAATATTATAATTGAACTCCGCTGCGTCCATCTAGTAATGATGTCCCGCACTGCTTAAAAATTGAATATATTGATAACATATTTTAGATGTTTATAAAATGTTCGTGTAAATATCATTATTATGGACGTCCTAACAATGTTCTTGGGATGTGTTTCAGATGTTTAACAGCGACATAAATGAGATTTTTCAAGATATATTTTGAATATCCGAGGGTACCAAGAGGTCAAAACATCGAATTGTTGCGTGGGCAATTTATCAATATATCTATTAATATTTATCTATCTCTTTCGTTCTGTTCCTATTTTGCACCTTTGTGTGTGTATGTAAAATCATAATCACTTGCTATCACAGTACAGTTACGGAGAGAAGACTTGTATAATTAGCAGAAAGCGAAAAAAGAAAAGAAAGAAATTTAATAAAACAGAAGAAATACCGATTGATTATACTAAACTTATTAGCCTTATCAGACAATGTTAGAAAACGCGTATATGCGCGCGCATTTGCGACGAACAGTGCGAATTATTTTTTTGTAATAATGTAATTTTATTAAAGTTATCAATATAAGAAATGAATAAAGTTGTGCGCGTATTTCTTATCAATAAACTAAATAATAACCTAACATCACACACAGACTTCTTTGGAAAAAACATGAAGAAATTTTTATAACATAATCAAATATTGAGTTCGACTTTTCCAGTTTCCAATCCTTTGTAATTTTTGAGCACAGGATACACTTCCTCTTCAAGAAATTCGACGACTTGCTCGGGTGCTCTACCAACGAAAGTTGATGGTTCCAACAGAGTGTCCAGTTGAGATAAAATGGGCGCAAAGTACGAATCTTTTCTGATCCTATCAACCAGATCGTTATCCAAGCCGTGTTGCTTCACTTGCGCTCCAGCTTCTTGCGATAATACGCGGATTTTCTCATGGCAAACCTAAAGCAAATACATAAAAGTAACATATAAGAATTTATACATTAATCTATAATGTATATAATATTTCCTAATGTATATAATATTTCATAAAATCAAACCTAATTAAATAAAAGAATTTCTATCAAAATTAAGAACAAGATTTCATATAGTTACACACTTTGATTGATTAAATTACAGATTGCTTTGGTGAAAAAAGTTTTTATTAGGTGTTGGAATTAATTCGTAGCGTTTTTTAATAAAAGAATGTTATTTATTTCACATGAGCATTAAAAAATACATTAATGAAAGTACTTCCCATCACTTGTAAAACGCTACGAATTAATTCCAACACCTAATATAATATCTTTTAATATTCTAAGAATTCTTCATATTTAAAATTTATAAACATTTCTGAAAAATACTTCAAAATTCTTCAGATTTATCAATTTTCTTCAGAAGTTATAGAATGAAAAATCTTAGAGGTATTAAAATATTTCAAAATTTATATATACACAAAGAATTCTAAAAGATACGAGGGCAAGTCAATAAGTTCTTAGAAAATTTGTCAGAGGGCACTCGCAGTGTCATGTCACATACTTTTTGACAAGTAGCATCTTTCAGCTGATTACTGTCAAATTTTGAGCGGAATTCATCATCGTGGTTTCATTTCTGTAGATGATTAAAGCGAATAACCTTTGTATTTTTTGCAAAATGGAAAAAAACGAGTTTGCAGTGATCAAATATCTACATATGAAAAGTTTAACGCTGAAAGAAATCAAAGCCGAATCGGATAATGTTTAAAGCACATCTGCACCAGCGTACGACTGTATACAATTGGGTGAATGAATTTAAATGTGGTCGTACATGTGATACACCTCGTTCGGGACGTCCAATTGAGGCTACTACGCCAGAAATCATCGATAAAATCCACGATATTGTTTTGACTGATCAACGAATGAAAGTGCGCTTGTTGAGGTCACAGACATGTTACATGGCACAGTGATTTTAATTTTGCACGAACAATTGGGTATGAAAAAGCTATCGGTAAGATGGGTGCTGCGTTTGCTCACTGTGGATTATAAGGACGACCGTGTGACGATTTCAAAACAATGTTTGGAGATATTTCAACGTAATCCAGATGAATTTCTGCGTCGATTCATTACTATGGACGAAACATGGATCCACTACTTCACACCCGAGACGAAGGAACAGTCAAAACAATGGATTTCACCGAGTAAACCAACTTCGAAGAAGGCGAAGACCGTGAAGTCGGCCGGAAAGGTGATGGTCACAGTTTTTTGGGATGCACGCGGTATAATTCATATCGATTACCTTCCATCGAATTAAATGATCAATGGCGATTACTACGCAGCCTTATTGGGCCGTTTTAACAACATTTTAAAGAAAAAAACGTCCCCATTTGGCGAAGAAGAAAGTGCTCTTCCATCAAGACAATGCACGGGTTCACACGTGCCCGGCACTGATGGCCAAATTCAACGAATTCCGCTACGAATTGCTTCCCCATCCAACATATTCGCTAGATTTAGCCCCCGATTATTTCCTGTTTCCAAACCTGAAGAAATGGTTCGGAGAAAAGAGATTCATCATCAGAGAGCAGCTCATCGCCGAAACAGAGACAGCTTAGTTTGAAGGATTGGACAAATCATATTATTCGGATGGCTTGAAAAAGTTGGAGAATCGTTGTATCGAGCTGAAAGGAGACTATGTTGAGAAATAAAAATGAATCGATAAAAAAAAATATGTTTTACTATGTTTTTCTAAAAACTTGACTTGCCCTAAAATTATACAGAAATTCCGAAAAATTCCGAAATTTATGTAGAAATGCTGAAAAATTTTGTGAGATGTTATAAGAAAAATTTTCGACGAGGTGACCTAAATTTTTAATTAAAAATAATGTACATTATTTAAAGAATATCTAAAGAGCACTAATTTTTCGCACTTGTCTATCGCCACCGGCCTTCACCATAGCCATGATTATATTCTCCGCGGACATGAAAGGCAACTCCTGTGCCACATGTCTGGCGATGACGTTAGGATAAACGACTAATCCCTCCGTGATGTTCTCGAGAGTTATCAGGATCGAGTCGGCTGACAAGTAAGCTTCCGCTAGAACAAGTCGGCGATTCGCCGAATCGTCTAGCGTTCGTTCCATCCATTGAGTCGCCGCGGTATGGAGAGTGTTGTTTACAAGAACCATCAAGTGACGTGCCACACTGCAACATCTCTCAGAACGCATGGGGTTTCGTTTGTAGGGCATCGC